CATCATCTTAATGGCTGACCTCACAGCAGATTCCTATTTACCATCTAGTTCCCTTCTTTCTTTTAATATGAATAATACTCCCTTTCTTTTCAAAATATACAGATCAAAACAAAAACAAAAACAAAAAATGGTTGAATGTAATGAGTTCTACTCTCCCTCATAGTGGAATTCTCCAACTGAAGTCTGACCTACCAATTAACTCCAAAATTAAAATGCGAATTAAGTAAAAGCTAAGAGGATTATTGTTCATTCATATATTATAATGTATTAGCTTTAAGACTTTTTCTTAACTAAGATAACTTGGAAGTGTATGGGAGCTTTGATAAACGTGATGAGTTAAGTCTTCAAGATCTAAGACTGAAGAACAGAACACTTCCAAAGAGGAAAGGCTTCAGTATGGTAAAGCATAAAAGTGTCATATAAGAGGACAAACAAAAGAAAGATGAAAATAATTTGGAAGGGACTAAAAATGAGAGTAGGAGGAAAAAAGCAGAAAGGTACTCATCACCATTCTATTTCTAACTTGGACATTTTCATTTGGGCTGCTCCTTTATTCTTTTATTTTTTTCATTTAAGAAATAAGACATGGTCAATCATTCTCCTACTTCCTGGGACCAAAACAAGTGATGAAAGAGTCAATGCTCTCACCTGCAGTAACAACTATATAAAACGTCTAACCTGAAAACCAAACAGGTCACTATTGAGTCAGTTCCAACTCCTGGCAACCAGATGTGTATCAGAGTAGAACTGTACTCCATGAGATTTTCAATGGCTGATTCTATGGAAGCAGATCACCAGGCCTTTTTTTCAAGGCACCTCTAAGTGGGTTTTCAGATTTATAGGAATTAGTTTTGTTTTCTATCATGCCACTAATTTATATGCTACTCAGAGACTCCACATAAAGTATAAAGAGAGCATTTAAAGAGAAAATCATAAAACTATTACCACATGTATGGGGCAATTCCATACAGTATTTATTCAGATAAATATTGTGATATAGTTGAGTGTTCTCTCTTCCTTTTATTCTTTTCAACACATAAATAATTTATCTAAGTTTATTAAGTGTTTTTATTTTAAAAGCAGTTGTTGTTGTTGTTGTTCTGTGCCGTCGAGTCGGCCCCGACTCATAGCGACCCCTCCTTGGGTTTCCGAGGCAGTATCACTACGGAAGTAGGATTGCCCAACCTTCACCTATTCTAATTCCTTCTTAAAATTACACTTACAGTTGGAGCAGGAGCCATAATGCTCATTGGCACAGGAATCATTGGAGTCCCTAAGGCAGGAGGAAAAAAAAAAAAAAGATCACTGAATCTTAAGACTACTATTATACATGACCATATGAGCATATTCTGTAACAGCTATAAACAATACAAATAAATAAGTACCTTTACTCATGGTTAATATAAGTAGAAATGTAAACTAAAGAAAATGAGATACTAATCAATACCTCATTTTCAAAAGCAATGTGTTAGCAGTTGGAGCTTTATGAATTGACATGCAAGAAAAAGCTATTCTAAAAGCAAACAAGCCACCACACATGCAATTTTAGTCTTCAGGAGTACAAAATTCTGAGCAGTTTATCAGCTCATGTTTATATGGATCAGCAATCTCAAAACTAGTGCCTTAAAAAAAAAAAAAAAAAGTACCTTTCACAAACAGAGATTCACTTATAGGTGACCAACGGTATTAATGAATTTTTTGAAAGTAAAAACAAGTATCTAATGACTTAATCTGGAAACCTAAGCAGAATCTTTCTATTCCTGGTTCTTTAATAGAAAACTAAAATCATGCTAAAAATGAGTTCAGTAATTTCAACCACTGTTAAGAGAAAACCAATCTCTAAGACAAGTATCTGCTGCTCTGAATAACTCATTCTGAGCATTTAAGAGCTGTCAGTAGGCTATCTACTATTGACAACTCAGTGTTATCTGCAGTTATATTTTTGTTTTCAACTACAGGGTTTACTAATCAATGGTTGCTATATTGAGAGCCCTGTGTTCTTATTCACAGAACTAATGAAAAAAAATCTTACCATTTGAGAACTAAGAAAAAGGCCAATGAGGGCAAAATTAGAGATTTGTCTACTTTTCTAATGTGCACTTTTAAATGTTTCCAATATATCTCCAAGTTGTGAAATCATTCTCAGTTCAAATTTAGCATCGAGTTAAGATATTACCTAATAAATTCTTATATTTAACATTATCCTTTTGACAAATACAATTTATTTAAAATAATTCCACATTTTTCAAAATAGGATTTTTATAAGGTAAAAAAAAAAAAATCAGGATTCCTATCAGTAAGTCTACACAAAACTGTACAAAACAGAAAAACACTTCAGGATAAAACTTAGGGTCATTTCTTGGTTCTGTCATTTTTAGTTATGCAACCCTGGGGAAGCTCTTCAACATCTCAGCTACTTAAGCTGTGTAATTCTAGTGAGGTAATTATTTCCTCAGAGAGTGTGAGATAATTTACGTGACTACTTAGTACAGTGGATGCTCAAAATTCTAATCAACTTGTATCTAAATTTTCCACCTCAACTTTGCAAAAGACAAAATATTTCTCTACTTACCTATTGTAATCTATATGGCACCTCTCCATTAGGAAACTTTCTATTGAAGTAAATGTTTCAAAAAAGGCCTATTGAAATATTTTCTTCCTTTTTACAACTACCAAAAGTTTAATACTATCATTTCCTATTCCAAAATAAAATAATGTCATACAACTTAGTACACACACTACTCATTGCACAGATCTACACATACTAAAATGAAAAGAAGTAAAATGGACAAAGTATGCTTTTTTAAAAAGAAGTGGGGAAAGAGGAACTATAAACAACCATGATGGGATGTGCATAGCACATCTCTGGAGAGTTACATACTAGGAAGCCTTAAGAAAGGCTGTCTCTGGGGAAGGGAATTGAGGAACTATAGTAGGAAAGCTATATGCATTCATTCCTTTTTAAGCAAAAATCATGGCTATTTTCAAATTTAATACATAATGCAATTGCCACGTTTGTAGCTCATTAATGCAATTAAATGCATTAACAGGCAAGAAGAGAAATGAAGATAAGTACTGCAGTTTTGTTGTTGTTTTCCTGCTTTCGTAAAGATTCAGAGCTTAGAAACCCTATGGGGCAGTTCTACCCTATCCTAATGGGTAGCTAGGAGTCAGAATCCACTCAGTGGCAACAGGTTTTAGGAGAAGTTGAAAAATGCACAATATTTTTAAAAAATACATATAAATTATTCTCAGTCTCATCATCCAGGAAACCTATTTACAGTCTGGCATATGGGCTCTAGAGACCTCTCCAAACCCACTGCTACAGAGTTGATTCCTACTTATAAGTACTGCAGTTTTGAATTTCACTAGCTTCAAGTATTATTTCATTTATTACCTTGTATTTAACCTACTGGTACTGCACACAGAATGCAGATAGCTACTAATCTGCAACTAAAGTGCAATTTATCACACAATATGTTTCCCTAAAGAGAAATAGTAACTTACACTGTTACTAAGGCAATCAGAAGGAGCTCTGGTAGTGTAGTGCCTAAGGCACTTGACTGCTAACTAGAAGCCTGTCAGTTCAAACCCACCAGCCACTCCTTGGAAGGAAAAGTTGGACAATCTACTTCCGTAGTGATACCACCTCGAAAACCCAAGGAGGGGTGGCTATGAGTCGAGTATGACTCCACAGCACACCACAGCAACAACAATGCAATCAGAATTATAACATCATTCCACTCCATGAACGAACGCCCATAATTAGTATGGCATCAGCCAAACAGGCAGCAAGAAATACTGAAAATATTGTTTTAGGGGTCTAACGACCCATTCTTAAAACAGACATAAAGAGTGAGCAGCTTAACAGCAATATGCCCCACTTACTTTCTAGCTCCATTTATAATTTGGTATAGTGTTCAATGAAGAGCCCTGGTGGTACAGTGGTTAAAAGCACTCAGCTGCTAACTAAAAGGTCAGTGGTTTGAACCCACCAGCTGTCTGTGGGAGAAAGATGTGGCAGTCTGATTCCATAAAGATCTACAGCCTTAGAAACCCAATGAGGTAGTTCTATTTTGTCCTACAGAGTCACTATGAATCAGAAGCAACATGACAGCAGTGGGTTTGGGCTAGAGTGTTCTTTAGAAAATAGTACTTCTTATTTAAAAATTCAAAGGAATTTAAAATTTTTCTATGAAAACAATCTTCAATTGTTATGTGCCATAGAGTTGGCTCCGACTCACAGCAACCCTATGTACAACAGAATGAAATCTTCAATTAAGACACTGATTTGCCATCTTACCTTTTCTGATCTGATTCTGAACAACTGATTAAATTTCACTTACACTCACTTAAATTTCTTCACAAAGAAACAGAAATTATCAGCTAACTGAACAGCTGACAGTTCAAACCTATCCAGTGGATATGTGAGAGAACCACCAAGTGATCTGCTTCAATAAACATTATAGCCCAGAAAATCTTATGGGACAGTTATAAATTGTCAAACGGGGTTGCTATGAGTCAAAACTGACTCAAGGCCAACTCTGTAACTCTGTTAATACCAGGGCTTTGTTTAAAAGTATCGTGTTAATAAGGTCTATCAAAAACTAGATCTGTATAATGTAACTACATGAACAAAATGAGGATATAAGACAAAAAAAAATTGATACCTAAGTAACAATGACTCAGGACACTGTTCTTCTAAGTCTGAAATTAACTTTAGTTTTCTGATAGCATTATTTTCGTTGATCTACATTTCCAAAACCTTCCTTTATACTTTATTATAGAGAAGCTAAATTATTGTCCGAAATTCAGTAATCTTTACATGGGATAATAAACTGGAGTATTTAAACTTTTCCACTTCTAGAAGCACAGCTTAAAGCAGCCTGCTACAAGCAGAAATGTCTTAATTCCAACCCACAGTGACACCCACTGAATTTCCAAGGCTATAAATCTTTATAGAAGAGGATTGCCTCATCTGGAGCAGCTGGTGGGTTTGAATGGCTGACCTTCTGGTTAACAGCAAAATGCCTTACCCACTACACCATCAAAGCTCCTTCTATAAGAGTAAAGTATCTCAAATTCAAGATTAAGAATTAATCAGTCCAATTTAAAAAAAAAAAGCAGCTCTGATGTTTGTATAAATTCTGTGTTGTACAAATTATGAATTAACAACCCATCCTATGAGCCAACTGCAATGTATTTTTTTTAATTTTCAACATCAAACTCTTGTGTAAAAAACTTCCCTTTCAAATAGAAAACCCATCCATGAATGTGTGAGCTAATTCCCTCCATGAATAAACTGCCTCCTTTGTCATGAGACCAGAAGAACTGGATGGTGCCCAACTACAATTACTGCCCATTTTCATCAGACATTATAGAAGAATCCAGACCAAAGGAGGCAAATACAGAACAGAATTTCAAATTCCCATGGATTTCAGACTTTTTGGAACCATGGGGCCTGGATGAATCCAACATTACTGCCCTAAAATAATCTTTAGGACTTAAACCAAAATTATCCCTGGAGTCTTCTTAAAACCAAATTATAGTTTAGCCTAACTAATAAACTATGTCTGCCTTGAGCATTATACTCCGTTAAGAGCTACTTATATAGAATCAAAGTGACAATAGCAACTTGAAAGATTAGCTAGAACTGATAAGGGGCAGTGAATTTATGTTAATGGAAGAGGAACAATTCAGGAAAGAAGGTTGAGAATACTAGCAAAATTTGAAATCAATGTCACTGAACTGGTGTATGTTTTGCTAGATATACTCTCAACAACAAAACAAGTCCAAGATATAAACCTTCCTTCAAATACAAATATTTTTAGATTATAATCTGCAAAATCATTTATTGATTTCAGTCTGAATTATACAGATTCCATGTCAAAATAAAATATTCCTAATAAGCAAATTAAGAGAGGAGCTCTTAGATAGTATCTTCTGTGAGACTGGGAAGAAGAAGTGATTTGTATGAAAAATTTTAAAATCTATTAAAATAAAAAAATACCTGAACTATCACCCATAAGCCAGGAGAAAACTCTCTCTTTCACTTAGGCCAAGCAATGTTAACTATATGCTTCAGAATATATATTCTTAAACGTGGGTTCTTTTATCTGTGCTTAAGAACGTCTAAAATTCACCTGGCAACTTGTTTAAAAAAAAAAAAAAAATTCCTGGGCCCCAATTTCTGAGAATCTGATTCAGTGGGTTAAATTTTTTTCTAATTCCACAAAATTTCAGAAAGAGGAAATCTTTATATAGATTTGGAAAACTCTCCAAGATACATTATCAAGTTAAAAAAAAAAAAAAGAGGAAGAATAGTGTATCTAAGGCACTTGACTGCTAACCAGAAGGCTGGGGGTTCAAACCCACCAGCCACTCCTCAGAAGGAAGGTTGGGCAATCAACTTCTGTAGTGATATTGCCTCAGAAAACCCAAGGAGGGGTCACTATGAGTCAGGTCCAACTTGACGGCACATAACAAGAACAGTGTATCTAGGATGCTATTATATGTCTGTGTAAAGGGTTCTGGAGGCGCAGTGGTTAAGGCATTCGGCTGCTAACCAAAAGGTAAGCAGTTTAAACCTACCACTTGCTCTGTTGGAGTAAAATGAAGAAGTCTACTTCTGTAAAGATTTACAGCCTTGGAAACCCTATGGGGCAGTTCTACTCTGTCCTATAGGGATGCTATGAGTCAGAATTGACTCAATGGCAGTGCATTTTTGTTTTATATATCTGCGTAAGTATATATTTATATTGATTTCTAATGTGCATAAAAATTGTCTGGAAGGATAAAACTTCCCAGATGAGTTTGATACTCAGCCAAATTTGCAAACCACTGCCATGGGAAAATGAGACAATTGCATTACCCAGGATAATGCTAACAAACACCTTCACTACTAACATAGTTATACTTTCCTGAAGTTAAAATTGCAATGATAAAAATACAGATTTAAAATAAGAGTATCTACAAACTTACCTGGCGGTACAGGTGGAGGAAAGCCAGGAAACTGTGGGGGTGGGATCCCTGGTGGAAGTGCTGGGATTCCCATGGGAGGGCGATTCAAATGAGGGGGGAAGGACATTCTTACTGCAGAGTTCTAAAGAAAGAAATCATGACAAATCATTGTATTTGAACACTTCACTATTCAATATGCCTGGTTTGTTGACCTTCATTTTTAGAGTATCTGCAAAATTCTAAAGTTTTCTTACCCAAAGTTGTTGGCAAAGACCCTCTTTTCTCTGTCTGTCCATTGAGAATTTTTAAAACTTAGATCTTTTCTAAAATAAGTTCCCAAAATGTACACGATCTAAATTCAGGATAGACTCCTACAATCATATGGGAATACATATAAAGGAAGAAAAAATTTTTGAGGTTGTTAATATCCAAAAAAAAAATAAATGCCAAACATCAATGAATCTTTTAAAACCACACTTAGAATCCAGGAAGGTATCTAACGGTTTGTTTGTCTGTTTGTTTTAAAGTATTCTGATGCATTCATTTTTTAATACCCATCAATATTCAGATAACTAACATACAAGGTTACACAGTTATCTGTTGATTCATGGTGATGTATTATACCAGTTCACACAGTAACCACTCAAATATAAGGAGAATACACAACTGAGGGCAATGAGAAAAAGCAACAATTTAAAACTTAAAAGCAAACCTTTTAACCACCCGTGAATCAAATTCAAGAATCAGATGCTAGCATGTCATTTTAAACTACAAGAACACTGTTTATTTTGTCATAGTATTACTTAAAGCAAATGTAACTTTGTATTTTTTAAAAGTATTTAAAATGTTTCCTTCCTTAAAATTTTATATTTTTATCAATGTATTTAAGAATCTAGAACTATTGAGAAAAGTAGAAAAACAGTGTTAGAATGTTCTAGTAAGGTACATTGTACCAATAAAAGGAACCGCCAAAGCAGGTAGGTTGACCCCCTATAGTGATCCCACATCAATCAGTGATTTGATCCCAGGAGTTATTTGACACTAGGAAAATTCCCCCACCTATATGCTATAACTGACGGAGTCTAGAGTTGTTATAAGTTTAAAAAATATTTGTCCCTATTTATTTATTTTTTTTAAATGTGTTTTATACATTGTTTCACTCGCCCTTCAAAAAAGAGAAGGTAAAAAGTGCAAACCTTCCATTTACTAGTCCCTATAGTTTGTTTTAAGGAGCCATGCTGACCCAGTGGGTAAATGCTTGGCTGCTAACCAAAAGGTGAGCAGTTTGAAGCCACCAGCCCCTCTGCAGGAGAAAGATGGGCAGTCTGCTTTCTGATAAGATTACAGCTTTGGAAACTCCCTGGGGCAATTCTACTGTGTCCTATAGGATCACTACTGAATCTGAATCAGATCCACAGTAATGGGTGGGTACAGTTATATAATTACTTGTTTTTCTCAAAACAGTGTAATCATACTGTATTGTTACATGCAATTCTCTCCCTCATTAATAACACTTCATGTCATTTCATAAAACTCTATTCCACTCTTAGTAACACTACAAACTACAGAATAAACATACAATAATCATTTAACCAACACTGATGGTTAACCTCCATTTTTTAGCTCTTACAAATAATGCTGAACATTCTTGGGCACATTGGGCATATAAATATAACCCCACGGACCTCTGCAAGTACTTCATAATACATATTACTTCCATTATCATTTTCCATAACATTTATACAAAGTTACATTCCCATCACCAATCTATGAGTATGTCCTTCTCCTCATATCTCACCACTATCAAAACTGGCAAAAAACTGTGTTTAAATTATAACAATTTAATAGGTAAAAATTTTCTTACTTTAATTTGCATTTCCCTAATCACTAATGAGTTTGAAAATCTTTTTACCTGTTTATTATTTTTTAGAAAAGCATTTCCTTCATGCTCACAACTGTTCTTCCTCAGAATGTTTCTCTGATTAATTCAGTACTGTAAAAATCTAAATTTTAATTCCACTACATAAGTAAAATATTTAGAAAACTTTACAGGTAAAAGAAATTCCTAATATGATTTCATACACTTAGCAAATAAAGTACCAAGAATAAATTTTTTGAAATACAGTTAAGACTGTAAATGTGTTTCTATAATCTTTTTGCTAACATTCTTTTGCCCAAAATATGAAAACAAATATTGTACATAGAAAGGGGGAGAAGAGATTGTATCTGCCTTTTAAAATAGAAAGGGTGACTGTCCTACTTACAGAAGCTCTTGTATTATTATAATAATACGCTATCTCAGCATTTTCTTAGAAAGGTAGTTGGTTTTAATACCTGTCGAATAAATAATGAATGAATCAATAAACAAATAAATTGTGAGTACTTCGTTAAACAAATGTATTAAGAAGTTATGACATGCCAGGCACTACGCTAGCAAACAGCCAATACCTAGCTTCACAGTAATTACAAAGAGTCATGAATTCAGCTTTAAAATCACTTTTTTTCCCTTCAGTATTAGACAAAAATATTTTTAAAAAAAAACCCTCTATGGTCTTAGTTAAACTACAAGTTTTTAACATGTAGTTGGCCCTGGGTTATGTCCATCCAACAATCCATTGTGAGAACCAACCCTCCTAAATAAACCCCATTATGTCAAACACTCAAGCTAACATTGAACATTCAATATAACAATGGTTTGTAAGAACAGCTGCTAACTTGCGAAGAGCATCAAAATATTATTATTACTATATCATGTTAAAGACGTTTCAGTGTATCCGTGTTTCTTTAATGTTTTTTTGTACATGGAAAGGTATACTATATAACATACACCAAGGCAAAGTTTTGACTGACATATGGTTATGTACAAATTTGACATAAAGACAGATTTAGGAACGGAGCTCATTTGTAATCCGGGGACAGCCTACATATAATCCATTCAATAAAAGCTAACCAGATTATATACATTTACTTAGTTTGTGGCAACATACCTATTCCATTTGCTTCTAATTGTTTTATGAAACATTTCTTTTATTTGGCTCTGCTCAAAACTTGCTTTCTCATAGATTGGACTTCAAAGATGAAAGTAAAAATACCATTTAATAGGCTAATTTGTATTAATATTCAAATAATGACCCCTCATATGGAAATTCTGAAAAATACAATACTGGTGACCTTTAAGAAATAAATGTTCACTTTATATATCCTAAAATAAACAGTTATCTTTATTTGAACATAAAGTTTTGTATGCTTTGGCACATGGGAAAATGATTGTGAATACTTTCATAGCCATGAGCAAAACTAATCCATTATGTTACCTCGATGATAAATTATAACACTTAGAATAAATTACATAGATATTAAAGTTGCTAAGTGCTTTGTAGAAAAATAAAGCAGGGAAGAGAGCTAGGGAGTGGTTTTTATTTTAAATACAGTGGTTACTGAATTGGTGTTGCTTTCCTGTGTAAAGTCTCAACAATTAAAAAAAAATAGAATGAAGCGAGCTGAACATTTTGTGTGGAAACAAATATAATAAAGTAAGCCACGCTTCATAAGATAGAAAAAATGAAAACTGTATGAGACCAACACATAGTCTGAATATTAAGAATAAAAAGGTCTTTATTGCATTCATTCTTCCAAGTCTGAATAATTTCTGGGGAAAGATGGGACTCATTTAATTATAAGCCAGAAAAGATTTCGCAACACAGTAATGAAAGGAGAAAATTAATTTACTTAACATGTTATTCCATATTATACAAGAAATACTTTAGACAATTAGATGGGAAAATGCCAATGAAAAATGATATTTTCTATATAACGTCTGTGAGTTTGAGAATGATCCTGTTCAAATGTAGTGAGTTACACTCAAGAATATTTTTAAAATGTGTAAGGTATAGTGTGTAATAATAAATGGACAAGTATTAAGTCACCATGTAACTCACATACGTATATAGTAATAAACAAATATGGCCATCAGACCTCACTCAGGTTAATTTGAACAAAAAGTTGAAAGAGACTGAGGCAGGAAGCTATATTCATATCTGAGGGAGACTTCCAAGGAGAAGAAACAGCAAATACAAAGCACTTGAGGCAGGCATGAAATGTTTGAAGAAGGACCAGAAAGGCCATGAAGGAGGAACAGCAAGGCCAGTAATATGGCTGCAGCAGAGTAAGTGAGGAAAACTAGGAAACAAATGCTGAGTATTAATTGGAGAGGTGGTTCTGAGAGAATAGGGCTTTGTAGGCCACAGTAGGGGTTTTGATTTTTACTCTGAGTAAGATTGAAAACATTTGAAAGATTTTGACTTCCCTTACATTTTAAGGTTCACTGGCCACTGTGTTAAAATAAAACTGTAGAGAACAAGAGACTAAGAGGCTACTACAACAATCCAGAGAAAAGATGGTGGCCTACTGCTGAAAGTGGTAACAAATGGTTGCATTCTGGATACATTCTGAAGACACAAAATAGAGATTTGCAAAGGAATTCTATGTGGGGTTTACAAAGGCAGAGATATTTTGTTAGTGCTGAAAACAATTTAAATTACATTTTTTTAATAGCTAACAAATTTACTGAGCACTTATAATGAGCCAGCAACATTCTAAGTGCTTATTTATTTAAAATTTTATTGTGATTTGGGTGAAAATTTACAGAGCAAATTCATCTTCTATACAGCAGTTCACATACACTTTGTCTCATGACATTGACTGTAAGCTCTCACAATGCAACAGCTCTCCTCCCACTTCTTCCCCATAGCCACCTCTTCCCTGTGTCCTTCCCTCCCATGTACTCCTGCCCCCTAGCTGTCTCCCTGTGCATACACAGCCCTTCTATTCTCCCATGACTGATCTCTCCAAGGAGTATATCTACCTAATGTAAATGTTCAGATCATACTTAAATAGCATTTTTAAAGAACATATGAATAGTGCTTCTCTTTTATAAAGTTCAAAGCATTTTTACCTGCCAAGTATGAAACTCTAGGGCCAAAAACAACAAAAACAAGCACCTATGATGGAAGCAATCCATATCGTAAGTATGTGATCACAAAGTTACATGCATTTGTTAAAACTCAACAAACTTAAAATGGGTGCATTTTATTGTATACAAATTCTATTGCAATAAATTTGGTCAAA